CTACAGGTGTAACATTTACTGACTATTGACTGCTAAGATCCTCAGAGAGCACGAGTAACCACACCAGAAGAAAGGAAAGAGTGTGTGAGTGAAGGAGGTTGTGAATGTGTGTAGATGTGTGTTAGTTACAGGATCAGAGAATGACACCGTTCCTCTGTCATAGTCCAGATCAACTCTCACACGCTCAAGCTTCTGTTTAACATGAAAACCAAACAAATCAGACCATTCATACCGCACACTCCAGACATCAGTGTTAAAGAAATCCCACCCCTTCCTCTGGTTTGACGCTGTAGTTACTCCAAGACACCAGACTGAACTCTCTTTAACCTCCACATCCCAGCAGTGTGTTCCTGAGTTAAAACCCTCTGAACCCAGAACACATGGATAGATGTCAAATCTCTCTGGATTATCAGGAATCAGTTGATTGTTCCCGCTGTATCTCGCACTGGTCAGATCATCAGAGAGGACGAGATATGGATTTGCAGTGTTTGGATCCAGAATCACAGGAGCTGATGAGACACAATCAACAGCTGCTTTTATTCTGATGTTCATATAATGATCAAGAGTGAACCGCACACAGATTATTATGAATTATCACACTCGTTCTATTGATCAAACACATCAGACATTTTCCTCTGATCACTGTCAGTGTTTGTTACAGTAAATATTTTAGATTTGCCAATCAATCAAACTGAACTGAGATCTGCTGTATCACTGTAACTGTAAATATCATGTGGACCAAAGTTGTTCTTCTCTTGTTTTCGGCTCATTTTGGTGTAGTAGCTCATCTGGTTATTCACACATAATGCTGAAATCTCTCAATATTCCCTCATGCGTCATTTCCAGTGTGTGTGTAACAGCACAGATCTTCTCCAGACTCACTGTTTTGGACGATGTCCTGCATCTTCTTCCAGACTCTGAAGGGCAGGTTGCCCAAGTAACGCGGCACATGAATCAAAGCTCCAGAAGGCGTCTGTGGATCCGGCTGTGATGAGATCTGGACTCTGGAAGAACATTCAGGATCAGAACTGCAGTGGCTTTGGATCAGAAGCAGAGAGAGCAGAGACAGCAGCAGATCACTCACCTTTCCATCGTGACTGGAAACTCCTGCAGAACAAACACACCATTGATCATCAAGAACTCAATCAATCATCAATCAATCAATCAATGGATGATCTGAAATCAGACCTTCAGAAAGCAGACGTCACTGGCTTTCATCATCTCCTCCGTGTCTCTGATTGTGTGTGAAAGAGCTGAGATGTGTCTGTTCATCTCCTCCAGCTTCTCCTTCATCATCTGCTTCTTCTGCTCCTCTTCCTCTCTCAGTGCAGTGATTGTAGCTTCTTCTTCATCTCTGAGAAACTGATGAAGCTTCTCAAACTGCTGTTTAATCTGACGCTCTGTGTGCTCAGCTTGAGACTGAAATCAAATCACATTCACTTCAATCATCTCAATCAACACACATCAACACATCACATCATTCAGATCCCAGAGAAACCCAGACACCCGACATATAACAGATCCAGAAGCAGATTGCTGCTCGACATTTACAAAAATAATCAACTGGAATCCATTATATTAAATATAAAATATGATAATTGTGTTTAGTGATGCTAGACCTGTACTGAAAATGACTCTTGATTCTGTTTCCTCACCTTGATGTGTTGAACTGTTTTCTCAAACTCTCCTTTCATGTTTTCTCTCTTTTTAAGTTTCTCCTGTAAGGACTTCAGTGCTGTATTGAGCTCCTCCTAGAATTGAACAAAATAAAAATACATAAAACAGCTGATTACAGTAAAGAGAAGAGAATACAGTCATCATACAGTGCTGTGATAAATTATTTGCTTTCGCATTATTTTTTTGAGTATATCTCATACTAAATTGATTCAGAAATTAAAACCAAACATAAAACAAAAGAAACCTGAATGAATACAAAATATACTGAAACGTTTTTTGTCGAGCATGAAGCTGGTTAAGGGTCTGACCCAGTAACACACTCTGCCAAAAGTGAAAGAGATTTGAGAAACGCTGAGAAAGAAGCTGATTGAAATACATCGGTCTGGAAGCGTTACAAAGTGATTTTAAAGGCTCTTGGACTCAACGAACCAGTGAGAGCCATTATCTCTAAATGAAAACAGCTTGACACAGTGGGGCAACATGGCTGCCCGAGCGAATAAATAGACACATAAATGTAAGCATTTTTGGCATTAATAAAGATTTTAACGAAAAGTAATCATTTGTTTTATGTTACATTCAATCGTGAGTTCATATTTACGGTTATGTTACTCAAAGAAATGTTTGCAAAAAAATCGCTATATTTGCTAACTAACGTCATATTATTATAGACTCCACGATAGTGCCACAACATATTTTCATGTCTGATCAGGGCGATAACCACCGTAGACATTGAGTCTAGTCCCCCCAATAATTAGAAATCGCTAAACTCTTTTCTCAAATATTGCCAATTCAAGAGAGAGAGAGAGAGAGAGAGAGAGAGAGAGAGAGATGAAAGTTGCGTGTATGCGCGTCTGTGCATTTCTCTTTTTTAGAGTGAGTTTACTTCAAAAACAACGATTATATCCTTTCATTGCTGGAAAATATAATGTTGCGATTCAGTATTTAAACAGTTATTTATAAAAGTCGTGGGGCAGCGTTGACAAGTTTCTTTTCTCCTGGATGTGTGATCTGCGCGATATCCGATATATATGTGTGTGTGTCAGTAAGCAGCGCATTAATATAGAACGGTTATTAAAGGCTCTAATGCACACCAGCACACCAGTATAGGTGTGTGTATTGTAGGAGCTAGACGACGTGTGATGACGTGCGACGGCATAGTAGTGGTGTCCCAATTCTTAGGGGAATATTTTCACCCCTACCCCTTGACACTCTGTTTCAAGGGACAAGGGGAAGGGGTATAAAATAGAATTGGGATTGGGCCTAAGTCTCATGAAGTTGAGTAAAATGGCAGAGAGTAATTCTGAGTGCATGAATGTGATGATATCTGTGTTCATGATGACTTATTGTTCTTTACATATGAAATATGAGACATTTGTCGTACCTTATATGAAGGAACCACTTCACTGATGGGTCTGAATTTGTGATTGTCGTGTTGTTGTGAGTTAATACACACTAAACACACCGGCTGTTTGTCCTCCAGACAGAAGAGTTTGAGTTTCTCACTGTGTAAACTGCAGATCTCCTCAGATCCTGATGAACGGCTCTCATTTCTCTCCTTCAGGAACGACTCAAACAAGTTTTGTAATGCCAGATTTAATGGAGGATCTTCTCTTGAGGATCTTCTCCTGCAGACGGGACACTCCTGAG